GAAACCTCGTCAATTTTAGTATTTGTTATCATAGTAGAATATCAAGGTATAACATATTCAAATTACATCACTCGAAGGCAAACCTTATGCACTGAGGGTAATATTTACTTTGCAGTTTCAATTTTACTAACTACTGATAAAAAATTAGGTACTTTTTTAAGAAATTTGTCAATATCCAAAGATTTTGTGAGAAAATGAATCAATTTTAGTATTTGTTATCATAGTAGACATATTAAAGTATAACATATTCAAATTACATCACTTGAGAGCAAAACTTATGCACTGAGGGTAATATTTACTTTGCAGTTTCAATTTTACTAACTACTGATAAAAAATGAGGTACTTTTTTAAGAAATTTATCAATATCTGAAGATTTTGTGAGAAAACTCATCAATTTTAGTATTTGTTATCATAATAGACATATTAAATTATAACATATTCAAATTACATCACTCCAGGGCAAACCTTATGCACTGAGGGTAGTATTTACTTTACAGTTTCAATTTTACCAACTACTGATGAAAAATGAGATACTTTTTTAAGAAATTTGTCAATATCTAAAGATTTTGTGAGATAATGGATCAATTTTAGTATTTGTCGCCTTTATTCTATTTTTGTTCTTTTTCTTTTTTTTATTTTTTTTATGTTTTTCAAATTTTTTTTTGTTTTTTTTTTTAAATTTTTTTTTTGTTTTTTTTTTTAATTTTTTAGTGTCTTTTTTATTTTTGTTTTTTTTTTTTTTTTTTTTTTGTTTTTTTTTTTTTTTTTTCATTAATTTATTTTTTGTTAACTTTTATTTTTACTAAATTACTAAATTTTATTTTTAGAATAATTCATTAATATTCCAGAAATTTGCATTAAGACACGATGCCGTACACCACTAGTTTTTTTCGTCTTAGTAGACATATTTAAGGTATAACATATTCAAATTAAAACATTCATGTACAAACCATATATAAATAATCATAACAATAATCTTAGAACATATAATTTTTGTAAGACGATCTATATTATTTTTTTCCACAAATGTTCGTCCATGCATGAAGGTTAGTGTCATAATAATTATAAATATGAAGTTTTGGTAATTTGTTCTGCTTTTGACCCAAATTTATAATTAGATATTATATATATATATATATATATATATATATAGTATATATATATAACATTTCATTTACAAACATGTGTTGTCAAAAATTATGTAAGTAAAAAGGTTGCGTTACTCTAAGGTCAAGAGCTCAAGTAACACAATGCAATATATATATATATATATATATATATATATATATAATATTTGAAAGTAACTGCTCTAGTTATTAAAAATCGTCATTAAAATGTTTCACACAAAATTGTCTGCTCAGGACAGGCGGCGAGGAAGACCCTTTGCTCAAAAGCCCAAGATATGGATTTTAGAAATTATATAAGTTAAAAGCTACTAAAAAAAACTAATTGATAAGCATGAAGAAGTATGTGGTATATAAGTGAAAGAGGCAGCTAAAACAAATGGATGGTTTACCCACTGCAATGCATGGCACATACAAATATTCATAGGATATATTAATGGCATTGCTACTGCCAGTCTAAATATGAAAGAACTCGAGTATCACAATGCAATTGATACATATATACAATTATATATATATATATATATATATATATACATATATATATATATATATATATTATTAGCTGACCCGACAAATGTTTTGCCATAAGAAATTTTCAAATATAATATATTTAGTACGAAATAACTAACTGATTGCAAATGCTATGCATAAATGAAACAAGCAGCTAACAACAAATATATGAATAGTTTACCCACTGCAAAGCACGCCACATTAGAAGATAATTAATCAGTTAACAAGCTTTATAAAAAATTACTGGATTTCTTAAGTGACTATTAACAACCTTAATTAAAAATAATTCGTTTTGAAGTTAAATTTCAGTTCTTCCACAAGTTTAAGAAAATCTTATTAAAATTCGGTGTAAAATATTCATTGCCTAAAAGCGAGATAAAAAATTATTCTATTACTAAAATGACTAGTAAGAAATAACACATTTGTAGTGAAGCGAGTCTGCAGTAGGAGAGTGAAAATTTAGGGATATAAATATTTTAATTGCAAAATGGGTAATAAAATAATATAAATTTGTCAAAAACACAAAAAAAATGTTGATAAGATGTTGCCCGATTCTCAGTAACGCTGAATGTGATTAAAGAATTTCATAAAAATCAGTCAAACCGTCTCGAAGGGGTATTGCCACTAACATCATAATACAATATATATATATATATATTATATATAATCGTGTTTTGTTGTCTGACTGAATCTTCTAGGCCGACCTTCACTTTAATACACTTTCCATATATGAAGATAATGGCATATATGTATGTATATATATAGCTATTTACAAAAATAATATTTTAAACACGCACGCATTTATTTAATTAATATGTTTTAATTAATATTTTCATTCTTATTATTATCATTTACACTTTATACATATTTAAGATTTTATTTTTTCTTAACATTCGATTGCTTTCTTAAGTTCCTATTTTAAGTAAATTGATTGGTCAAATCCTGTTCATATGTGCACTATTCTATCTACGATCAACGAAATTTGTGCAGTAAATGTAGAGGAAATACATAAATAAATAAAAGGGTGTAACCTGTGAACTTTTTTACTGTGCTCCAATTTGCATGAAATTCTGGGTTCTCTTGGACCATGTTAATTCTAGATGAAATACAATTAATTGTAATTTCGGTGGGAATGCCACTCATAAAATTATTTGATTTAAATGAAAAAAACAGACCCCTAATAGTACTTATTTTAAAGCTTATTTTAAGCACTATAAAAACCCCATGGAATATATAAAATGTAACACCTCGCCATATATAAAATTTTC